AAACCCAGGCCGATAACAGTCCCTGGAGTCAGCGATATTGTCGCAATGGAGCGAACCATAGATCAGGCAGTGGGCGCAGACGCCTATGAATTCAAGGTCTCTCCCTCTGGCTATCTAAGAATTTACGCCAAAGATGCCGACACCCACAGAGCAATTGTCCGCAAGCTCACTGAAGTGAGAGTGCAATTTACCCACTTCTGCCTAAAGGAAGACAGACCATACCGCGTTGTGGTTAAAAATCTGGCCGCTTCCACTCCCAGAAGCCAGATTGAAGCTGCCTTTACATCGCACGGCCATATTGTGACGAACCTTTACAACCCGGGCGCCAGACAGCCAACAAGTGATGCCAGTGCAGACTCCACCAACGACTTTCCAAGTCGCAACTTCTGGTTTGTCGATCTCAAGCAGTCTCTCAACAACAGGGAAGCGCTGCGGCTCAACAAGGTTGGCCGCCAACGGGTCACTATTGAGCTTCCGAGGAAGAACAATAGTATAAGGCAGTGTTTCCGCTGCTTCGAGTTCGACCACACCAAAAACTACTGTCTCAAACAGCCCAAGTGTGGTAGGTGCGGTCAGCCCCATTGGACAAACTCCGAGCAGTGCCAGGCCAAAACAGTGGCAGACCTGCGATGCTCCAACTGCGAGGGAAACCATGCTGCTTCCTATAAAGGATGCAAAAGCATCCGGTGAGACTAAATGCCAGGCAGCCGGCCATCAATGTCTCCCCTCCTACACGATATAGCCATCCTCAAAATACACGAAGAACCACTCAGCAGTTCGTACCTTCCCGAATTGTGCAACAGGGCCTGTCGTATGCTGATGCGCTACGGCCAGGCCATCATGTACAAGTCCGCCAACCCCCAGCGCGCACTCTTCAGCCCACCGTCAATCCAATGCAGCTCCAACAACCACTGCAAGGACCTCAGGAGCAAGACGCTTCCCTTGGAGGCATCCTTCAAAACCTCCAGCAGTCCATTGCAGCACTGAATGCCGCAGTTGCAACCATTCTGGTTAGCATTAAAGAGCTAAAGGATGCGCAAGGTTCCCCGCAGCTTAGATTCCCAAAAAGCCGCAAATAATGGCTACCCAGTTACGTCTCGGATCGTGGAACGCTCGTGGCATCCTCCAAAATGCTAACGAGCTCAAGCTTTTTCTGAAAAAGCATGATGTAGACATCATGCTCATCTCAGAAACACATCTGCACACAAACTTGTACCTAACAATGGAGGGGTACGTCTGCTACCGTGCGGATCACCCTACAGGACGAGCCAGAGGTGGTGCTGTAGTGCTGGCAAAGCAGGATTTAGCACACTACCATCTACACACAGTGACCTCCAGCGACACACAGCTGGCTGCTATCATGGTGGAGACTCCCTTGGGCGAAATCCTCGTTGCGGCAGCATACCTACCACCAAACATCCCCTGGAACCGAGCGGAATTTGATTCTCTGTTTGGCCAGCTTGGCCCCAAATTCATCGTTGGAGGCGACTTCAACGCTAAGCACAGACTGTGGGGAAACTACAGAGCTGACAGCAGAGGCACTGCGCTCCATGAGGCGCTCACTCCCTGCTCAGCCCAGGTACTGGCCACCGGTAGACCTACCCACTTTCCGTACAACCGGCAAAGTACGCCTTCCTGTATCGACTTTTTTATATTCAAGGGCATCCCCAACAGCGTACTATCGGTTCGCGAAGAGTACGATCTATCTTCCGACCATCTGCCACTCCTCACAACGATCAACACGGCTGCACAAAGGATCCCAAAAAAGCGCAGGCTTGTCCTCCCTGGGTCGAACATCCAACGATTTAAGGCCGAACTAAATAGCTTGATCAACCTAAACACGCAGATTCTGTCAGTTGAGGACGTCGACGCTGCAGTACAAACCCTGTTGGACCAAGTACATGCCGCAGCCGCCAACGCTGCGCCCGCACATATCTACTCAGCCCCTACAAGCCAGCGGCCAAGGACGTTTTCCCCCATATTGGAAGGTCTTCTCGCCCTAAAAAAGCGACTGAGGAGGGAGTATGTCCGTACCCAGGACCCCACGATTGACAGGATCTATCGTCGTATTGCTAACAGGGTCAGGAAGGAGCTGATTATCTCGAAAAGAAATGCCACAGACACCATGCTGGAGGAAGCAACGGCAGACGAGAGCTCCAAATTTGCGCTGTGGAAACTTAGCAGTCGATACAAGCGGCAAGCTGCGCCAAAGTTCCTCGTTCGACTTCCCGATGACACCTGGGCCAGATCACCAATGGACAGAGCCGAAGCCTTTGCCTGCAACCTGGAGGAGCGCTTCAAGCCGTTTGAGACCGCATCGCATGGAAGGATACAGCGAGTCGCGCAAATCCTGGAGGCGCCACTCCAAATGTCACTCCCTGTATCGCCAATCACCTTCCAAGAAGTAGAGCAGGAGATGAAGAGATTAAAAAGCAGCAAAGCCCCTGGGGAAGATCGGTTGGACAACCAGACAATCAAGCTACTGCCATACAAGGCGGTGCTTTTTCTCGTCGCCATTTTTAATGCAGCTCTTTGGCTAGGTTACTTTCCAGTGGCTTGGAAGAAGGCACATATAATCATGTTGCACAAGAGCGGAAAGCCCCCTAATCAACTGGGATCCTATCGCCCCATCAGCCTCCTGCCTGCCTTTGGTAAGATTCTGGAAAGGTGCATCCTCAGAAGGGTCCTGGATACCCCGGAAATAAAACGCTTGATCCCGAAGTTCCAGTTTGGGTTTCGACTCAAACACGGTACCCCTGAGCAACTACATCGGGTCACAAATTATATTTTGGACGGCTTTCACAGGAAAGAGTATGTGGTGGCAGCATACCTCGACATCCAAGAAGCCTTCGACCGGGTGTGGCACGCAGGACTCCTCTCCAAGATAAAGGACAAATTGAATCCGCAGCTATTTAGCACCATTGCGAGCTTCCTAACTGAGAGAACCTTTCAAGTGGTGCAGGATGGAGTAGCCTCTCAAACCAAACGCATAAAAGCGGGCGTTCCACAAGGCAGCGTCTTGGGTCCAACGCTATATAGCCTGTTTACACATGACATGCCCACAGCAAATGCAAGCAGACGGAATGATCGGCAGGACCTTCTGGTGGCCACGTTTGCTGACGACACGGCAATCCTTGCAAAAAACAAATGTGTGTACGTGGCAACTGACCTCTTGCAGGAATACCTCAAGCGATTTGAAAACTGGGCTTGTAGATGGAACATCGCAGTGAACCCTGGAAAATGCGCCACGGTTACCCACACTCTACGCAAGGACTCATGCCCCGGACTTTTTCTTCATGGTGAGCTTCTAGAGCAATATCGTCAACACAAGTACCTAGGTGTCACTCTCGACAGACGACTTACATTTAGTAAGCACGTCTCTGCAGTAACGAGCAAAATCAAATCTAAGATAAGGCGAATGAGCTGGCTCCTCAACTCCAAAAACAAACTCTCGCTCCGAAACAAGGTCCTAATCTACAAGGTAATCCTTGCCCCAGTGTGGCGTTACGGGCTTCAAGTTTACGGTATAGCTGCAAAAACACACCTGAACAAAATTCGCATCATTCAGGCCAAAACCCTGCGCAAAATAACTGGAGCCGAATGGTATATTCGCACACGCGACATCGCCAAGGACCTCAAGGTTCCAATGGTGGGCGACGTAGTCAACAGGCAAGCAGCGAGCTACTCAACAAAGCTCCACAACCATCCAAACATCCTGGCGAGGAGCCTGCTAAGGAGGCGAAGAAGAAGGCGACTGAAGAGGACCTACCCAACCGACCTAATCGATCGTTATGTATAGGTGACAAGCTTCGTTAATTACATCAAAATATGTTTCTGTAATCTGTTAACCTAATTGTAAAACTAATTGTAAAACCACAATCATCGCTAAGCTAAGTAATTATGTCACTCTGATAAAAGTTGCTAACATAGAGTAACAGGATACCAGATTTCTTAATAAACAAAATAAAAAAAAAAAAAAAAAAAAATAGCTGGTTTCTTCCTTCTACTTTGGAGGGTCCCTTGGGAGTCGCAAATTTTGAAATAATTTATACTACGTTTGTAGCCTTAATATTTGTTTATCGTTTTACACTTTTTTATCTTGCTTATTGTTCTACAATATTTAGTATTTATTATTCTTATAATTCTATTTCACTTTTTTGTTTCTTTTTTTTTGTGTTTAACTTAATTTCTAACTTACAGTACTATTCCTGATGTGGCAACCTCCCCTGCCGGTCCGGATTTCGTCCTTGTTGCCAGTCGGCGCGTGGAGGAAATGGCACAGACACCAAGTCAGCATTTTGCTGCACTTCTTATGAGGTGTTGCAATGCTTCTTATTAGGACTGTGTGAATTCCATTAAGAAACGGGAATTGGTAATGAGATTATCTAGTAATGACCAAAACTGCAGGTTTACTCTGACTGGATACTGGATTCCAAAAATGTTTGAAAAAAGCTCGCCATATAAACATTTTTGAAGTGTTTTTTTTCACCTAGGCTCGCATATAAGTTAAATAGCATATTTGATAACAGAGTAAAACGTTCAATTTTGTTACCTATTGATATCAAGTCCAAAATAAGAAGAAGGCGATCTTGAGTGGATGAGTGGATACTGTTGATACTGTTGAGGAGTAATGTTGAAGGTTGTAAAGTTTAAATTTAAGACCTCCGATATTTGAATAGGCTGGCCCAAGATATATGGTTTTTCACGCTGAAACTAATGTCGAGGCGCCACTAGCAGAAGTTGGTCAAAATCGCTGTCCTATTTTTTTTTGCTTGGCATTTTATTACTATTTAGTTTTCCGGTCATAACTGTTCGCATTTATTTTGAAGTAATGAATTAAAATGAAATACATACAAATACATATGATCTCATCTTTAAAAGAGGATGCCGCACCGTGACTCACTTTATTACATTTTAACCTTCGGCAGGAGGACATGGAATACTTCCATTGAGCAGCCTACAAGCGTTTTCCTGTTTATGCTTATGGACAAATCGTCTTAATGGCATTTTTATATTATATACTGCCCCTTACTATCTTATATTTTTTCACTATTTCTTTTAACTTGTTGGCTGTAAATAATCTACATTATGTAAGCAATGTCCTAGGCATAAAAGACCCAATACATAAGCAAAAAATATCTCTAAAAGCTATGGATGTTGTTCTATTTGGACCGCCACGAGGTAAGCAATATGCACAGTTCTGCATGCTTAAATGTAGGGTAATTAATTGGGCAATCGATTGTTATTGGCAGAAACAGGCACTCGCTGGAAGGATTATATTCTTGCTGGTATGCCTACGAACAAAATAAAATTGCTAAGCGGCACTTGCGTCGCATGGCACAGGACATGGAAGGATTACAACGGGCTGAACAAAGTCTACAGGAAATGCAAAAGGTACACTTGTGAATTGGAAATGCCAGAATAACAATTTTGTATAAGTATAAACTTTTTATTTAGGAATTGGAGCTAGCTCGTATGGAGCAGGAAAATGTTGCAACGGAGAAAATGGATCTTGAAAGGCGCCTTAAAGAAGTGCCTTCCCTTAGTTCGTCTAGCTCAGATCTTGAGGTACAGCAGCTAAAAAAAGAAATTGAAATGTTGCGCAATGAATTAACACGTGCTGAGTTCGAGCTGGTCGATAATTGCTGGGCGCCCCCTCAGCAGTTGCAATCATGGTTACAGTACACATATGAGCTGGAAAGCAAAACCCACAAAAAAACGCATTTGTGCTGAGAAACAACTTCAATCCGCGCGCGAAGCATGTGAAAAATTACGTAAAAAGCAATCAAGCTTGGTTGGCGCTTTTGTTTCAACCCACGGTAAGAGCATTGAAGACGTTGACCGCTCTATTGTCGAGGCACGTAACGCGCTTGGAGGAGTAACCAACGAGTTACAGGAACGCCTGCACCGTTGGAAGCAAATTGAAACGTGTCTAGGCTTAAATATTGTCAATAACAACGGATTAACATACTTAGAGAATGTTCTCTATAGCCGTAATGGTGGTATTACTGGCAGCATCGGTGGTGTCAATTCCACAAAAGGTTCTAGAGGTACAAATTATTAATTCATTTTTAATATTGAAAATATCTCTCATATGTTTGGACTTCCAGCGCGGATCACATGCAGCACAGACGACTTGGATGATGATTCAGTACAAGGTAAGATGCATTTTGAGAATTTTTCACTGCTTGCCACGGAGTAACTTTGTTGCGTTTGACTGGAAAGATAGCAATGGAAAAATCTACCTTGCGGAGCCAATAATTGATTGACCAACGAACATATTTTTAACAGTTATATTCACCTAATTACTTTTGAAAATTTGCTGTTATATATGAATATACTTATATACATATGCATATGAAATGCAGTTCGTCAATCGACTATTAATAGTAACATTTTATTATATAATTTAATTATGAAATCAAGGCTGCAAACCGGTACTTGGAAGACATACATCATTCTGCAGATCTTTATACTTAAAAACATATATGTATGTGACTCAATATAAATTTAGAAAATATTAAACTTCGCTTATTGGTATAAATTTGTTTACCCCATATCTCCTTCTTGGTTTGCAGCTTTTATTTACTCCCAATTTTAGAAATGGTTACTGTCAATACAAATAACGTTTAACGGAAGCTTTTATATTATTCAGTTAAGAGCAGTCATTCTTATTAAATCGTAAGCTGTTCTATAATTGTTTTACTCTATGTAAGTATATATAATAATCATCATATTATATAATTACTTTAAAAAGAGTGACATGCAGCTGCTTACGAAAATATGATACAAATATATTATGATCACAAGAATTGTGCTTCCTGAAAAGTCAGCTTCACTTAAAAAAAAACTAATGAAACTCCTTTTTATAACGACTGCTTGTTTTAATAAAAAAAAAATTGAACTACGTACGTACATAAATACAAATCGTTTATTTACCTACGTCTGTCATAATTCCAAAAAGTTTTTTTTTTGCAGAAAATGCAATTAAAGTTTTCTATTCAGTATTACTTTGCTGAAGAAATAGTAAGTTATTATCTATTGTTTTAACTGGAAGGGTATACACGATATGAACCTTGCATAAGAAATGGTAATTCAATGCAAAAATCGCTTTTATTGACTTATGACAATATTCAAGTTAATGAGCGATATATGTATTTGTGTTTGTAATATGATCTAAATTGTAATTAAGATTTGAATCTAAATTTTAAGGACACATGTGTTAATAAATATGATTTCCACCTGAATTTCATTATGTTCTTATCTTCCATTGTTACATTGTAAAGTACACCTTTATAGATCTTTTACTTTAAATAAACACTGGGTTGTTTTTCTCATATTTTTTTTCGTAAACACTTCTTTTGTTTAATTAATTTGAGCGTTATCCTTTCTGGAGCTTGTTCGTCATATTTATAAATGTATATGCATATATATCAATTTTTGTACATTGTGCAATTAATAAACGTTTTATATATCGTGGCTAACGCTACTCTTCTTTGTATAAACCTCTATGTAATTGAAAAAATATTTAAAAAGCGATAAAAAATACAAATAGTTTTGTGAGAGTCATCATGTTTGTAAATAATAATATTATAATATAAATTGATAATTAAAAAAAGCACAGGTCGTTTTATGAGTTTTATTTATTTTCTATATAGTACAATTTTATCACCACGCCCAGAAGGGGATTTTGAAAATCCGTATCTAACACTGTTTTAAAGCTAGAGCACCAAATGTTGCATATAAGCCACACAAGGCATACAGTAATTAGATCCTGTATCGCAACACGTTTAAAGCTAAAGTCATCAGGTTGATTTATTCTATAATTGGGTTAACTTTTATACTGTTTTAAATGATTTATGTATATTTTTTAGCGAGCTATGTTTTGTAGTCTTAAAAGTTCATAATATAATACTTAAAGATGGTTTATTACTCAATAAAGTAACTAATTTTAATAAAATTGACTGCCGGATCTTGCTTATTAGTAAATATTAACCTATTATCTGTATAGAAGTGTAAATTGAAATCGTAATGGATAATAACGTTTGTACAATATTAATGTTGAAATATTTGCTTAAGAAATCATGTCGACATTTTAGAGGCTCTACTAACTATGGAAGCGGAAAACTCACCATATTGCTTACCACAATAATCAAAATTGGAATTTACTTTGGAGTGAGTATTGGTCTTATAGTGATTAGTTCAGTGCGTTGAATTTCCTCTATCCTGTGTAAATAAGTATTTGTCGTTCAATGCGGGATCTTGGCTTATAACTAAAAAGTATGCAAAGCCATTAGGTGCAGTATCCCCAATTCCCAGAAATAATAATGTAATCAGCAATCATTTTGATAAGACCTTCAAACTATGATTACTGTATTAAGCATAGACAGAGTTAAAAAGCATAGTAATAATGCAGATCATAAAGTAGTAATGTGCTGCATACTACCTATCGCCGATCGAGGGGCGCATTCGTGTAGTTTACGACACGAGTCCCAAAGTAACAAGTAAGAGGTTCTAGTCGGGAGCTCCCGATTAGGGGATACCCTGAACCCTCTTGTTCCAACACAAAATAAATTAAAAAAAAATGTTCCTTTGGCATGGCTCGAACTCGCGACTGACCGCACCACTTGCTATGCCTCTACTCAGCATCCACACCAACAATTAAGTACTTATGATAAAAAAAGGAACTAAAATAACATTACAAAAAAAGATGCAATTACCATGCTATTAGAATGCGAAGCAGACGCGCATGAATGTGTGTGTGTACATGTATACAGAAATTCTTAAAGCTGCTGCCCCATTCAATTGCGCAGTTGCATATAACTTTGGTTTTTCTTAACCGATCTTTATGAAATTTTCTAAAGTATATCTTATTGTACCATAGAATATTTTTGTATTCTGAAAAAGTGGTGGTAGCGGGGAGGTGGCGATAGGTATGAAATGAAAGATACTTGAAATATCTATAATATTCTAAAAGCAACATATCATGTTTGGTGGCTCTAGCTCTTATTATTTACCCAATTTGCTAAAAAAAAAACAGGATGTCGATATCGATTTTTATCGATTGCTTGGAAACGGAGTAAGTTATCGATTATCGGAAACAAACTCGATCTGCGCGGGAACTAGGAGCATCTGCATCTAAAATTTCAAGTCTCTAGCTCTTATAGGTCAGTTGGGTTATTAACTTGATTTATAGCTCTGGGGTGGTAGCGGGCAGGTGGCGATAGGTATGAAATGAAAGATACTTGAAATATCTATAATATTGTAGAAGCAACATATCATGTTTGGTGGCTCTAGCTCTAATTATTTACCCAATTTGCTAAAAAAAACAGGATGTCGATATCGATTTGTATCGATTGCTTGGAAACGGAATAAGTTATCGATTATCGGAAACAAACTCGATCTGCGCGGGAACTAGGAGCGTCTACATCTAAAAGTCTCTGGCTCTTATAGGTTCTGAGATCCTTTGGCTAATACATACGGACGGACGGACGGACGGACAGACGGACATGGCTAGATCGACTCGGCTATTGATGATGATCAAGAATATATATACTTTATGGGGTCGGAGATGCTTCCTTCTGCCTGTTACATACATTTGGATTTTGCACAAATACAATATACCCTTATACCCATTTTTAATGGGTTCAGGGTATAATAAGAAAACAATAACTTTAAAAATTAAAACAAAACTATTTGCTGACAAAGCAATTTGTTTTAAGTCAGCAAGTCGTGTGCGCTGCCTTGCTGACGTGCACTCAGCCAGTGGCAATGCCAACAGAGCCACCATTCCAGAGAGTGCTGAGTTACCCATTATGAGTAACAAGGGGTCGTCTCGAACGAACGAGGTAGGCCAACTATATGCTGACGCCGCTACGCCGCCGAGTACCTTAATGATTAACAGCCGCTTAGCAACAGCTGCCAATAAATTCTCCGCGCTGATGTCTGCAAGAAGTACTTCAATTTCACCTTCCTACCCTTAAATGGTCCCCGAAGACCCCGGTAGCAGTTACATGCTGGTCCTAGTGTGAATAGAGACCCCGTTGACACCCTAGTGCATATAAAAGATATCATCACACCCAATTCACCCGTCGCAGCTGCGGCTCGCCTGGTCCAATCACAGCAGGTCCCCACCTGCCGCGCGAAAACAGAACAACACTGATACCAGTCCACTTCAAATACATGCATCAAAAGTCCAATCTAGGTCGGACTATGCGACTCCTAGCCAATATTGTGCCCACATACAGGGCCATCATAAAAAAAATGGAAGAACAAAAATTCTATTCACACCAGCTTCAGGAGGACAAGCTCTACCGCATAGTCATCAAAGGCATTCACCACTCCACACTCAACCGAGAGCTCATCGACGACATGCGAAGCCAGGGTCATACCGCTCTCCACGTCCACAATCCAAACAGCAAAGTCAGCAAGGAGCCCATGAACATTAACTTGAAGCCAGCGGCCAACAACAAGGAGGCTCTTAACCTCAGGAAGCTGTGCAAACAGATGGTCAAGGTGGAGACTTCTCGAAGAAGCCAGGACGTGGTGCAATGCCATAGATGCCAGAAGTATGTACACACAGTCACATACTACAGAAAACAATACATATGCATAAAATGCGGGCTCAATCATTGCACTCAGTTCCGGCAATATGCGCCCACTGCGGTGGTAACTACCCTGGCAACTATAAAAGCAGCGAGTGGTTCACCGAATGTACAAAGCGTGCGGGAGGCCTAAAGCTGGCTAAAATGAAATATCTCCCACCGACTCAAGCGAACCGAAGCCGCAGCATTAAAGATTATGGGCCTATACCTGTACCCACTGAACAAGTAGAATACCTTCATACGCCGCTGCCACCGGAAGAGGACTAGCCGCATTCAGTTAAGAGAACAAAGCACTCAGCGCTAGCCAGCAAGAAGGACTAGCACAAGCTATGCTACATAGATTGCTGAGGGAATAGCAACAGGAGAGGCTGACTGCGCAAGAACAGCAACACCAGACATCCGGAAACGGGGAAGGACTTTCCTCTGCCATCAAGGACATGAGCCGAGCTATCGAGAGGATGGATGATTACCAATATTCGACGGTGACAGTCTCCACTGATGCTGGTAGCGTGGACTTTGAAGCAGCCAATTACAGGCCAAATTAGCAGACGTCGACTGATGACTTTAAAGTCATACTCAACTCGGCTTGAATCAGATATCTAGTGGGAGGCGACTGAAATGCACATTA